CATGTCAATCACAGATCCCTCTCCCTCCCCTCCTCCTCCATTCCCCAGTCCCACCCCTTCCCCTCTCCCCTCTCCAGGGAGGGTGAGGCCCTCCATGGGGGAAATCTCCAAAGTCTGTCATATTGCCCTGGGCAGGGTCTAGGCCCTCCCCGATGTGTCCAGGCTGAGAGAGCTCCCCAAGTCCATTTATATGCCAGGGATAAATACTGATCTACTACCTGAGGCCCAATAGATTGCCAAGGCCTCCTCACTAACACCCATGTTCAGGGGGTCTGGATCAGTCCCATGCTGGTCTCTCAGCCATCAGTCTGGAATCCATGAGCTCCCTCTTGTTCAGGTCAGCTGTCTCTGTGGGTTTCACTAGCCCAGTCTTGACCCCTTTGCTGATCACTTCTCCCTCTCTGCAACTGGGTTCTAGGAGTTTGGTTCATTGTTTAGCTGTGGGTGTCTGCCTCTGCTTCCATCAGCCACTGGATGAAGGCTCTAGGATGGCATACAAGGTAGTCGTCAATCTCATTATCAGGGAAGAGCATATAAGGTAGCCTCTCCACTATTGCTTAGATTGCCAGTTGGTGTCATCCTTGTAGATCCCTGGAAATCTCACTAGTGCCAGATCTCTCCTCAAACCTAAAATGGCTCCCTCTATTATGGTATCTCTCATCTTGCTCTCTGCTGTTCTTCCCCCGACTCAACTTTCCTGCTCCCCCATGTCCTCCTCTCCCCTCCTCTTGAGCTGTGGAGATGGCTCAGCCATTGAGGCTAGGCTCACAACCCAAACTTGAGATTCTTTTGTTTTGTTTCCATGTAGTTTGAAGCCAGTAGGAGGATGCATTGTCAACCATGTCAGGTTGTGGGGAAAGCATTTAGGGAAGATGGGACACACCCTGCTCCTCTCTCTGGGTCCTTTCTTGCTCATGTGTGAGGCTGGCCTCATGACTCTTCCCCAAGAGGATGCTTAGTCCTTGCGTTTACACTTCTTCCCAGCTGCCCCTGTATGTACTTCTCTAGAGTGTGTTTGTTATTATATGACATTCCCTCTTACAGTTAGAGGAGATATGTTATAGCTACCACCAGAACTTCAACATTTCATTTCTACCCCTGTGAACAATCTTGCAATCAGCTCTTCCCACCATCAAGGTATTGAAATACATTAATTGAAATCTCAGTCTCTCCTGTTTTGTTTCACCATTTAAAATAAAAAGATTGTGAATGTCCTCTGTAGAAGGCTTTTTGTTTTGGGCCACCAACCAGCTCCCAAATCATGACACAGAGACTTATTAGTTTTGAATGCTCAGCCTAGCTTAGGCATGTTTCTGGCTAGCTCTTTTAGCTTAAATTAACCTGTTTCTCTCTATCTACCCTTTGCCTCAGGGCTTATTACCTTTCTTACTTCTGTACATCTTACTTTCACTGCTCCTCTATGTCTGCCTGGCTCCTGGTCCTGGGCATCTTCCTCCTCTCCTCCTCCTTGTCTCATTCCTTATTCTCCTAGAGCCTAGATTTCTTCTCCTATTTATTCTCTCTGCCCACTGCCTTTCTTCTTCGCAGCTATTGATCATTTGGCTGTTTACTAAGCCAATCAGGTGCCTTAGTGAAACTAATACAACACAGCTTTTCATAATTAAACAAATGCAGCATAAAGGAAAGTAACATACCTTTACAAGTAAAAGTAATATTCTGCAGCAACAAATATAGCACATCTTTGTCTAGTTAAAATAATATTCTATAACAGTCCTCCTAAAGCATTCAGTAATATCTAAAGGTGCAAGCAATACCATTCATCATGGACTCTTACTGAATTTTAAGGGGTAGAAATCGTGGCTGGTGTCCAGTTGAGGGCAACAGTGAGCTCCTATCCAAGTATAAACAATCCCCATTCTGTCTAGGACTCTGCTCCTCTCTCTAATGACTTGCCTCTGTGTGTGGTTTGTCCTGTTGATCAGTTTAAATCCCTCAACAGTCCTCTTCAATACAGCTCTGAAGGGTCTTAGTGACCAGGCCCACAAAAATCTACTTTTGTACAGTTCAAGATAAATTCATCATATAATTGTATGGAATCTAAATCATCATAGAGGTGAAGATTTTGTTGTTGTCATTGTAGCTGTTATAGCAGGAAGTAATACCCCAAGTGGGTCAGCTGGAAAAGCTGCCCAGGTTAACATCCTCCAATTAAAGCAATCAGTGGTGTTTTCTTGGCCTGTCACTGTCTTAGGGTTTCTACTGCCATGAAGTGCTACCATGACCACAACAACTCTTATAAAGAAAACATTTAATCGGGGAATGGATTATAGTTCAGAGGTTTAGTCCATTGTCATCATGGTGGGAAGAATGGTAAGCATGCAGGCAGACATGGTGCTAGAGAGGAAGTTGAGAGTTTTACATCTGGATCTGAAGGCAGTAGGAAGAGAGAGTGACACTGGGCCTGGCTTGAGCATCTGAAACCTCAAAGCCTACCCATCAATGACACACTTCCTCCACAAGACCATACCTCCTAATCCTTTCAAGTGATGCCACCTTTTGTGAGCCTGTAGGGGCCATTTTCTTTCAAACCACCAAAGTTACCTAGTTACTAAAATTTTCAAGAAGAGCAGCTGTCACCGTCTGACCTGAGAGTGAAGGGAAGATGTCTTATTAAAGCACACTGTGTTTTTAGAAAGGTCTTGCTCACTCACCACTGTGTGATTTTGGAGTACTGCTGCAGGCAGTTTCCCACAGACAGCTGGCTCTCCAGTATTTAGAGTGTAATGCAGATGAGATCATGCCCATAGACCTCATCTCTAAGGCCACCGAACTTTGCTCTGCTCCAACAGCCCTTGTGCATGCGAATTAAGCTTGCTTTTGCAGAATATTGTCACCAAAGAAAGCAAGTGGAGGAATATGCTGTGCTTGCACCTGTAGATTTCAAGCATGTCTCCAAACATGTGTTAGTGTTCACGAAAGCCGTCTGCAGGAGTGTTCTGAGTGAGGCAGACCAGCAGCAGAGCCAGGCACGCAGTTCTGCAAACCCCACACCCACTCTGTCTCCTAGCTACTCTTTAGTCCTGACTCTCATCCTTAGACCTGTTTGTCCTGAGATTCGGCTGTGTCCTTCCTGATGTCCTCCAGGTTCCCATGTCCTTCCTCTTGGTGCTTTTCCTCTTTAGCGTGTTTCTTTTGTGATTTGCCATGTCTGGAATTGTCATCTCAGCAGCTAAACTGTAAAATGCCTACTAGCTAGAAGCCAGCTCTGGGCTTGCTTGCACTCTCTGGCATAGTGGTGTGCTTGCATACTGCTAGATACGTAGTAAAGTCTTTTGATTGGTGGTGCTAAATTGTGAATTATTGGGTGGTAATGAATGTATATAAAAGGAGTTGATATTTTAGCCCATGATGGAATTTTTCTTGGGTTTGGAAGGAGTGTGGCAATATAAATTCTCAGAAGAGAATTTTACTTGTGTCGTTCTCTTAAAATAAGCAAGTCAAGTACTTCCTGGGATGCCGCCTGGCATGATCAAGAAAGGCAATGGTAAGTTAAGGTACGTGGGAAAATACGTGGAACACCCTGTTTTAACAGTCCTGGTGACTCAGTCAGTTGAGAGGAATTCGCTCTGTAGACGAGATCTGCCCCTCTCTGGCCTGCCTGCCTGTCAGCCCCATTGCCTCTGTAGAAGGCCACCTGAGGGAAAATACATCCTCAGTGAACAGAGGAATTCCTGTGACTCTAGGTTTATACCCACACACTTTTCACTTCATACTTTTGGAAACTAATTGCTTTTTTAAAACTGTAATTGGTGTATGCATTGCCTTTCCTCAAGATGAATTATTTAAATCAATTTGTAAGGTATATGAATTTCTGCATGTTTACCTCCATGGATCTGGCTCCCATATTTGATCCCTATTTAGTAGCTCATTTAAGTTACTTGGAAAATTAGAGTCATGCGGCTTCCTAGAGTGTCCACCCAGTCCACTTTGTCAGACTGATTTGCTGTTTGTATTTCTAGTAGTAGCTGTAATCTGTTCATATTGAAGAGGTTAAAAGTAGAGTCTGTGGAGTACATGGCTGACGAAGAGAAGACCTGAACAGCTTACCTGTCACCCAGAGTAGGCTGGAGTCAGGGTTACATGACGACACAGGCATGAGGCATAGCACTGCCTGGCACTGTGAGCACATGGCAACTGTAGCACATTCTTATCTCTGCTCTACAAAGTATATTCTGTAAGGATTCAGGCACTATGCTGGCCTGTCCCTGTCACCTGGCAGAATGCACTCAGGCAGTGCCCTGGTCAGCCCTGGGTTCCATGACTGTGTAGTCTGCATGAAGGTTCAAAAGACCCCTTTAAAAGAAAGTGCTCCTCGCGCTCATGTCCTCTCTTTCTCCTCTCTTCTCTGTTTCCTGCTGTCTTTCTCTCTCTCTCTCTCTTTCCTGCTGTTCCCCTGGGGCAGACAGGACTTTTCCTGTCTCCCTCTTCTCTTCTGTCTCCTCTCTGTCTCTGTGTTTCTGTGTGTCTAGGGCTCTTCTCTCTTTCCTTCCCCCTTCCCTCCCCTTTCTAATAAAACTCATTAAGCTCTGTCGACCTGGCATGTTTGTCCCCTACCTCTGTCACCCTCGCCTGCCATGGAATTTGCCAAGGTTCCCCACACACATTATTATAATATATTCAGTATATTGTTTGCATGCATTGTTTTGCTGATACATTTTTGATGTCCTTATGAAGTTTCCACAAAGTAGGTAAAAAGAGGTTTGGTGGCACACGTCTGTAATGCTAGCACTTGAGAGACAGAGTTCAGGGCCATCCTGAGCTACAGAGTGAGCGTGAGCTTCAGGCTAGCTTAGGTGACATATTAAGACCCCATGAAACAAGGCAATAGAGAAAAGCCAAATAAGCAAAATTCATCAGGAATTGGTAAAAATTGGTTGCTGCTGGCCAGAAAGGAAACAATTGTGCACAGAAAGGATCGCCTGAGGAGGATGTGGCATTTCCTCAGCAGATTCAACTGTTTTTCTCCCATTGCTTTGCAGCCGAGATCAAAATCTGTTTCAAGTACTACCATGGCATTAGTGGAGCCCTGAGAGCCACAACCCCCTGTATTACTGTGAAGAACCCGGCTGTGATGGTAAGTTCCCCTCATTGCTGGCTTCCTCCTGAAGCCTGTGAAGACTTCTATTTTTGCCTGGGCAGCCCTGTCAGGGTCATGAGGAACAATGAAAAGGAAACACATGACAAGTGTGGGCACTGTTTTAGGAAAGGAAATGTTTTACAAGGCTGCCATAACTGCATCTGCGATACCAATCAGTGGAAAAACACTTGAGACATAGCAGTCCTGCGTATCAACAGCTCTTCAAGGGAACACAGTGAACCACAGTGTTCTGTCATGAAGACTTTGACACGTGGTTAGTAGGAAATTTTGATACTGTATCTCTGTATCCCTGGCGGATTTGCAAGAATCAAGTGTGTAAGGGGGAAAGGAACCCAGTTAAATCATAATCATTCTACCTTCCAGGCATCTCAAGGAGCTTTTCCCTGAAGAGAGTGTGTGATGGGAATCATACTTGGGCAGTTTCCTCAGAATGAGTGAGAGTCTTCTGTTTAGTAAAACATGCTGCCCTGGGAATAATATTCTTCCTCAAGCCCTCAGGTGAAGAAAGATATAATCTTGTTCTGACATCAGTCAGATCACCTAAGTGATCATTGTATGAGGAATGGAGTGGACCTGTGACAGCTTGTAGCAGTAGGATCTGTCATGACCAGGAACATTCTCAATGAGGGTAGCCTGGATGATGCTACTTGGGGGAAGCAGAGTAAAGGGGGAGGGGCAGGAAAGAGGAACATGCATGAAAAATGTTTGCTATCTCTGGTAAAGTTAGTGTAGAATATAGAAAGAATAGTCTGTATTACTATATAAAACTTTGTGGGTCACAGAAAGGTTGACAACTGCTGACTACAAAATCTGCCATGCCAGTGTAACACTGGAACAAATTTTCTTCTCTTTAATATTGTAAAATAAAAAGTTACATACCTCCAAGAGTAAAGCTGTGTCTAATCAAACCTCTGAAAAACTCATTTTGAGTGACATTAGACAATAAAATTAAAGCTAACACTCCCTGAATTCAGAGTCATTTAGACTTGAGTAATACCATGATCACGGTATTGCTGAAGGCAATGGGAATGTGGAGCCAAGTTAAATGCATTTCAGTGACTTTCTAGTGAGATTACTCCACCAAAGCCTGCAGTTTGGAAATAACCAATGTGCATCAACATGACTTGAGAGATTTCTGTAGACAACAGCATTACAATCAAGAGCTATTTTGATTGAGAAACTCATCAATGGAAGTGGTGGTCAGTAGATTTCTGAACAATCTAAAGGTACTTGGACCTGTATTCTTGGGTCTGATGTCCTTTGGGGAGACCAGTGCTATGCTGCTGTAGCAGTAGTGGTGGTCCCTGGGGTATGTAGCATGCGTCGAATTATTTTAAGTAACAGCACTGAGATTCACAGTGCTTGTTTAGTGTGACTATTCCATGCCAGATGCAAAGAATAGGGCTGAGGAAAACAGCTGAGAGTCTCCCAGTCGGGAAACGAGCCACTTGTGATCTCCTTTCTCACATATCCTTTTGCAGTGAATCAGGGATGAAAACCGCTGCCTTCTCTGTCATTTGCATGTTGACGTTGACATCATTGTCATCCATCATGGTCCACAGTGAGATGTGTGTCAGATCCTTGCCACAGGAAACCTTTTAGCTGCAGGGACGCACTCTGGTTGACAGTGCAGCTTCTGGGTTTTCCTGAAATGGATTATGGAGGTAGCCTATTTAAAAACCTCCCTCTAATCATGCAGACATGTTTATCACCACTAGTGGCCCTGTATTCAGTGATAATGGTTGGTCTTCCTTGGCCTTATTGTAGTGTGAGATAAAGTTGTATTCTCCGAGTATTATTTGAGACAAGCATTTTGCCAGAGAGGTGGCACTGTTTTTCTATGAATTCTTTGATAATTGTTTTTAGATTTGCCTTTTACCACATGATGAATTGTGTTTTTAAAATGAAAATTGCAGGTGTCTTCTTTTGTTCCTTGTAGTTCCTTAAAATATTTTAATTAGTTAATAAGCCAGGTGTGGAGGAATATGCCTGTAATCCTAGCACTTGAAGAGGAGGCTGAGGAGGCAAGATTGTGAATTGTCAACCTGGGCTACATAGTAAGACAGTATCCCAAAAGGGAGAGAAGGGAGGAGAGGAGAAGGGAGGATATAGTTTTAAATGAAGGTAGTCCATTAATCTTTTCAGCCACAAATAACTCAGCACAAGCAAGTGCCTGGTTAGACCCAGATGTTACATTCCTGGAGGGACATGTTTTACTTATCAGTGTGTTCCCTCACTGGGCAAGGCCCTGTTTTGTGGACCTGAGGTCCTAGTGCAGCAGGGAATGTAGGTTACTATTGTCTGTTCCAGGGGAAGTCTGTATCGTCTGCTACAGTCTAGGTCCTGTGTGCAGAAAACAGGATAAACAGTCATAGATATCTGCTGTCTAGACAGTTTACTGCTGCCTCCACCCCTGTTAATCTGGGAATTGTGAGTCAGAGGAATAGAATTCATTGTAAGAACTCACATTTTTGTTGAGTGTAAACTACGATCAAGAGAATGGGATTAAGGGGGCTGGGGAATTAATTACATAACTCAGTCTGGAAAGCCCTTGCCTTACAAGTGTGAGGACCTGAGATTGAACCTTAGAAAAACACATAAAAATGTTGGGTGTGACTGTACACACTTGTAATCCCGATGCTCAGGAAGCAAAGGCAGACTTGCTGACTGGGCAGCCTAGCCTACCTGGCCAGTTTTTGGCTAATGAAATTCCTTGTCTCCAGAGAAAAGGGAAAGAGTGACTAAAGCAACAACTGAGGCTGCTCTCTGGCCTTTGCATGCACATACACACACACACACACACACACACACACACACACACACACACACGGAGGGAGAGAGAGAGGGAGAAGGGAGGGAGAGAGGGAGGGAAGGGAGGGGGAGGGAAGGGAGGGGAGGAGAGGAGGAGAGAGGAGGGGAAGGGAGGGGAGGAGAGGGGAAGGGAGGGGAGGGGAGGGGAAGGGAGGGGAGGGGAGGGGAAGGAAGGGGAGGGGAGGAGAGGGAAGGAGAAGAGAGGAGAAGGTGGGACTGATCACCAGAACTGAAAGGTCCTAATGCAAAATTATCAGGAGGCAGTTAATTGTCACACAATCTTGTCTAATTGTCACATAATCTTGTCTAAGGTGCAGAAGGTACAGAGAAGACCGTAGAATTGACTTGGGTCAGTGATGGTCACGTGATTATGCTGTATTTACACAGGGAGTACACTAAGGACGGTGTCAAAGATCAGAGAAACCCAGCATCAGACCATGGTTGAAGTGAGAGAAGCATATTTTGTTCATGAATTGGTGCCATTGAGGCAGGAAGGGGGGGGTAGAGGACCACTAAATAGAAATGGCTCAATTCCAGTCATGACAAAGGAAAGTGAGGATTTATAGCCAAGAAGCAGAGTCAGTGGATGAAAAACTACTAAGAGGGCCAAGGGGATGTGATAACTCTTGATAAACTAACTTAAGCCTAATTTTTGCTGAAGGTGGGCCAGGGTAATCACATGGTACCTGGAGCCTGGTGAGAGATGAAGAATTTGGTCTGGTATCAAGAGTAATGTCATAGTGAGGATAGAGATTCTCTTTAGACAAAGTAGAATTTTTGTAATCTAAGAAGCTAGAGACAGAAGCCTAAGGTCAGGCTTAGTTGAACTGAGGAGCATATGAACTTGACTAGAGTTTGATTAAGGATGGGATCTTGGTAGAGTTTAATATGAATTTCAGAATTAAATTTTGTGTGTGATTTCCATTTTCTAAAAGTTCAGAATCTACTCTGCTTCAATCCTGTCTTTTCTGGTCATATGGACTTCTTTTTCAGAGTACCACTATCTTAAGTGTTTCTATTGTTGTGAAGAGACACCATGACCACAGCAACTCTTATAAGGGAAGCATTTAATTGTGGTAGAGTGCCTACACCTCAGAGGTTCAGTCCATCATGCTGGGGAACATGGCAGGATGCGGGCAGGAATGGTGCTGGAGAAACAGCTGAGTGTTCTACATCTTGTCGCAGAGGCAGCAGGAAGTTGACTGGCTGTCACACTGAGTGAAGCTTCAGAAAAAAACTCAAAGCTGCCCCCACAGTGACACAGTTCCAACAGAAGGTGTGGCCCAGATTAAGGGTGTGCCCTCCAGCCTCAAGGCCTGGATTAAAGATGTGAATCATCCAGCCTCCTCCAATAAGACCATACTTCCTCCAACAAGGCCACACCTCCTAATAGTACCATTTCCTATGAGCTTATGGGGGCCAAATATGTTCAAACTACCACAATCATGGAAAAATTTATTCTTAGAAACCATAAATTATGTACTAATTATATACAGATTGAGAGAAAGATCTAAATTTTATTTGTAGTCTATAAATTGCTGGTTTCAAGTAAGATATAGTTTACTCAAAAATTTTCAGTGAGGAAATAATTGTACACTAGCATTACATGGTCCTATTGTTGCTAACTCCAATAGCAAAGTGCCCACACTGCATTACAGCAGAAGCCTGGATGTAGGTAGGACACCTATGTGGACATTCAGAGACATGAGGTAAGGGAGGATGATTTGGTATGTATCAATGAATCTAACTTAAGTCAAGAATTTATTCCTGGCTTTCTTATCAAAGGAAAAAGGAAATTTAGTGTTTAGTTTCAGTGGTAATATATTCATTATGTATCCAATATATTCCTCCAGGCATGTTGGTATATTCTAGTAATCCTAACACTTGAGAGGCAAAAGCAAGAAGATCATGAGTTCAAGGTCAATTTGGGGTGTATAGAGATGGATGACAATTGCTAAGAAGGTAGAGGGTGCAGTGACTCTTTCCAAACCAACCAACAAGAAATTCTTGCTGAAGACAGGCCAGAATTGTCAGATATCACCAGGGAAGGGGAAAGGGCACTGAAGACAGTTGAGAAATTTGGTAAGTTATCAAGAGCAATCTTATCTCAAGGGTTGGGATCCTCTCTAAATGAAGCAGGCCAGCCTGAGCTATACAACAAGACCCTGTCTCAAATATAACAAAAGCACTACCACCATCAATGTCACACACACATACAAACACAAGCCAGAAAGAGACAGACAGATAGACAGACAGACAGACAGACAGACAGACAGACGGAGACAACTGGCCTCAGACTTGTGATTCTCCTCTCTCATCCTCCTGAGTGGTTGGGTTATAGGAATATATACCATAAAACATGTATTCATATTAAGAGGAAAGACAAATCATACAGTAGATATAGGAGGTTGATTATATTAAGAAAGATTTCAAAGTTCATATTTTTAAGTGGGGTAAAGATTAGCTTTAAATATGAACATTTGATCCCATATTTTGGAATCTATTTTGTGTATCTGTTCTAATATTTGAAATTTTGAAGACATGCACTACAATGCATTTTGATATTAAAATCATTATATGTCCAAACGATGAGAGTGCCTGATAGCACAATTCCCCTGTGAAATTTCACACACATTTTTCTCCTCAGATGGGGGCAGAAGGCATGGAAGGAGGTGCTTCTGGAAGTCTGCATTCTCAGAAACTGGTCAGCTTCACATTGTCAGGTAAGTGTCAGAGTGTGGCCTCCAGCCTGAGGACACATAATATCAATGTGCAAGCCATTTCTTTGTACAATGTCGTATGTGGCCTATAAACCAGGTTATTTTGAGTTCTTTTGTTCTTACTTCTGTAAAGTCAACTTTATATCTTACCAGGATAAAAATTAGATAATTATTATGTTTAGAAATATAAAGTTGTTTTTTTGTTTTACAAAAACTCTTTACCAAATTTTCTCATGAAAGAAGGACTGTGTGACTATGCATAGTTTTGAAAGCATGTGAACTGCTAAATAACTCTGTCAAGTAGTTTTGGTGATTTTAAAGGATTTGGCTTACTCCAGCTAGAAAAAAGAAAAGGTTTTGAAGGCTCAAAGTAAAAGCAGCATACGTTTTCCTGTGAGAACTGCGAATACAGAAGATAGCTTTTTTCATGAAATTACAAAAAAGTCAATAAGTAAAAAGATAATGGTTTCCTGTTTGGTAAAACATCCCACCCGCTTGCATGTCAGCCACCTAGTTACAACACCGTTTCCAGGCTATGAGTTTTGTGTTTTCTATTGCAGTTTGTGAAGTTGACTGGGCTGAAATTGGCATTAAAATAATTGGGGCTTACTAATCCGATGATGTCTTGATAAGACATAGTTTACACAAATTGACAGTTTTGAAGCAAAAGGGGATACACTGCGCTGCAGCATAAAAAGGTGAAATTTATTTTGTACATAAGGCATTGCCAAAAAAAAAAAAGTTTGAAAGCCACTGACCTAACAAGAATGAATTGGCAGTTATAAAACCAAGAATGCGCAAAGAAAGCCAGTGCTTGAATTGGAGTTTTCAAATAGACGACTGAATGATAGTTTATACCTGGCTCTGTAAAAACAGAACCATTTCAGTGGTTCTGAGATTTCTCTGAGATTCTGTTTTCTTCACCGAGTAAATCCCACTGGCATATGAATGGTGATCCTTGATGTCAGCCACCTCCATGAACCCTAACAGTTGCATCAGCCCGGGCAGCGCAGGTCCACTCGCCGCCGGGCACTGTCTTCTTTCTGGTTCATTTTGTGTCGTCCTTTTTTTTTTTTTTCCTATGAGGCTGTTAATTTGATGACCTCTTTTTCCTTTCTTCAATTTCCTGTTGAATCTCAGAAGATGTAACCTGGTGGTTTATGGTTCAGATTGGGCTGGTAAATATATTTTGTTTGGGATCTTTGGTTTAAAGTATCTGGGTAATTAGAGGTAGTTTAAAGCCCCATTGTCTGTGATAGCCTTCCACGATGCTTCTTGTTGATGATGACAGCTTGTGCTGTAGGCCTGGGAAGTTGTCAGTAGTTGCAGGCACTGAAGCCCTGGTGGCGATAGGGGTCAATTAGCCGCCCCAATGATGGTTTGCTACACTCTATCGATTTTGTAGTTTAGAGCTATTGACCTGTCTTTGGTTGATGTATATGACTTTAAACATGGCAGTCACATATCGATTTTGACTTCAGAGGGAATTCTGGTAACTCACTGTAGGAGAATTGCTGTCTGGAAAGTAACATCACAGGACATCTTCCTGAAAATAAGAAATAAGCTCTAGGACATCAACAAACCCATCTTTAAATATTTTTGTAACACCCCACCTCTGTTCACATGGAAGCTGGCTGCCTGCAAGGTGTTTGTCTTCTTCTAAATAGACATTTGCCAAGTGTACAGAGACGTGTAAGATCATAGGAGAGGAATGGATTCTATAACGCTGGTTCTAAAACAATTAACAAGATTGTAGACTGACAGTGGGTGACATGTTTATCTGAAAGATTGACAGACTGGAATGGCTGCCTGCAAGTGTGCTATGCCTGACTATCTAAGGATAAGTAAGGACCCAGACAATTGAACTCTACAGTCTCAGGGAAAATTGTGTCTTGGTTGATGTTACAAATCTTATCCAAATAAGGTTGAAGGTAAGCTACTTACCACGTGTGCCTTTGTGGCTTTGAGTTCTTTTCTAGTCTGCCACGTGATGTGGATATTTATGAACAATGAAACAAAGGAAAATAAAGAGAAACAAGAGGAGAGATAAGATGAGAACGGGGGGGGAGGGCTGGAGAGATGACTCAGAGGTTAGGAGCACTGGCTCCTCTTCCAGAGGTCCTGAGTTCAATTCCCAACAACCTCATGGTGGCTCACAACAATCTGTAAATGAGATCTGGTGCCCTTTTCTGGCATGCAGGGACACCTGTAGGCAAAACATTGTATACACAATAAATATTTTTTTAAAAAATGAGTAAAGGGAGCTGAGTCAGCAGATTACAAATAATTGGCAGTAGATCACCTGCATTAATGGAGATGCACTCACCTGTGCAGCATCTCGCTGTGGAAGCGTTGTCAACAAGGTTATCTAACGTTGACATCTTTTATCACAATAACTATAATCTGCGGCGGAATGCGTTTGTGTTCAAAGGAGTGTTTGTGAATGAATTGGTTCTGTCAGACTTTGGAGCAGCTATTTCTATCCACATTACTCTGCATTTACCTCAAGGAAAACCCCTCCTTGGAAGTAAACTTAGTATCTAGAGGCTATCAATCTGTCTCAAGTCTGAGGCAAGAATAATCAAGAAGGGCAAGGAAATAAGTGTGTGAGCTGCGCTTTCTTCTTGCAGCTACTTTGTACCAACAGAGAAGCCATGCAGTTGGTGAACAGTCCAATGAAACTCTGCGTTTAATAATGACTGCATAGCCTAAGAAGTGTCAAACTCTGCGTTTAATAATGACTGCATAGCCTATGGAGTGTCAAAAGTGGGGTGGCTGGGATAATGACAGCAGCTTCACAGAACGCCGGCTCATCCCTTACTTGCCCCTTCCCTCTTATGCAGAGTTGTTAGCATTCAGCTTCACTGTTAACCATTTCCATATTCTCTGTTGAATTATCCATATCTCCCACTGCTAACAGCATCATTAGACAGCCCTGGTCTATTTTCATCACATGTCTAGGCCATGAGTTCTTGTGGGCCAGTCCATCTCTTCCAGAGAGTGAGCTCAGGGGACTACATAAAACCCAAGGCCTAGCCGACCCCTGTAGATCTCCTGTAATTCAGAGCCATGACATAGTATCTCTTTTACTGCAGATCTAACCAAGGTAAGAGTCTCCCTGTACATAATCTAAGCTGGAGTGTTCAAGACCTCCAGATTGATCTGAAGCACATAAAAATGCAGTCTCTTCCGTGGCTTTCAGATGGTTTAGCTCCAGAGCTACATTAATCACACCAATCATCTCAGAGAGGTGTTGTGGGCCCAGCTGAACCATCTTTAGCTGTAGACATTTGTGTACCTTTTAGCCTGACAATCTAAATGTCTCCTTGCTGAACAGACTTTTAGCAGTATCATGTAAAACTTATTGTGAAAATAAGGTAAGTTGTAAGATACTCACTGAATATTTAAATTACTTTATAAGTGATGGAAAAATAACTGAAGAATTCTTTAAAATGACTGCATTCACATATTAGGCTCCTTATAAAATGTGTATGGCATTTAAGATGTAGTACAAGTGAATGTGTGCTTTGAATTTTGATCTCAAGTTAAGCTTGGTTCAAACATACATATCTACAGTATGTGTGTTTGCAATTTTATGCATGTGGGTCTTTTGTGAAAGGGCATATTTTTATAAGCTGATTATTGAGAATCTCGGAAGAGGCTGTCTTACATTCTGGCTGACCAACCACATTGTACCATGAAAAAGATGGTGACCACCCACAGGCACATGGCATAAAAGAGTCTCAGGTGCAGGGGCATGATGTAATGAAAAGGGGCTGACTTTATTTTTGCCACCTTGGAATTACTGCCATGACCCACTTGTCATTCTCTGTGTGCTCACAGTGCGACTATCTGCTGCTGTGTCACTGGCTCCTTTCTGGTTAGATCTTTGGATTAGTTAAAAGTGCCTGAGTCTTGTGCTAACTGGGATGTCTGGACCCTTCTTCCTCTCTTCTGTCCTTTCCCCCTCCTTACTGCCTCCCCACCCCCACACACACTTCTCTCTCTCTCTTTCTTTAAAGATCTCAGGGCAGTTGGGCTCAAGAAAGGGATGTTCTTCAATCCTGACCCTTATCTTAAGATGTCCATTCAGCCAGGGAAGAAGAGCAGTTTCCCTACCTGTGCCCACCATGGGCAGGAGAGAAGGTCCACTATCATCAGCAACACCACCAATCCAATTTGGCACAGAGAGGTAAGACAGACTGGGGGTGGGGCTAGGGAGTGTCTTCTGCTTGACAGTACTTGACAGACAAGTTGGCCCTTTCTCTCTGAACTCTGTGCAGCCTTGAGTTGTGAATGGGTATGGGCAAGATGGCTCCAGATGTCTGGTTTTGGTGCAAAGAGTGTACACTGCATGTAAACTATTTCCTTCTTGTTAGATCCAGGTATGTAGTAAGACTGGTGAATTGTTCACTTCTAGGATACAAGTTAATGATATGCTAGAGGCTTAATTATCAAAATAAATATCTTAATATTCTTAAAACTAAAAATTAATGCTAAAAGTCATGAGGAACAAAATATATGATAGTTTTTTGCAAGAACAGGAGAATTAAGATATTACTTTGCCAAGTCATAGCAGAGCCAGAATTGAAGGGGAAAAGGCTGATTTATATTTAAATATTTTATTTTTTGCTCTAGCCTACATTCAGTCCAAATTAAAGGACTCTCTCTCTGTGTCTCCCTCCCTCTCTCCCTCCTCTCTCTCTCTCTCTCTCTCTCTCTCTCTCTCTCTCTCTCTCTCTCTCTCTCTCTCTCTCTCTCTCGGCTTTAGCAAACACTTGTATGAGCTTTCAGGTTTTTGCTAGATGAGCCATTGAGGAAGTGGGCATCCCTGTGAGGGCAGACTGCATTGATGGTACTTCAGGGTTCCTCCCAGCTTCATCATGCTACCCACCGTAGAGCATTGTGTCAGTGAAATCAAGCAAGGGTTTTCTCATTAGAGCTGCACAAAGTCAAAGATGATCAAAGAGCTGCAGCTTACTTTCTCACTGGCGAGCAAAGTCTTTCCACCATATCTCAAGGACCAGGAGGTTTGCATCATGTCCCAGTGCTCGGATGTTTCTGGCTAAAGCTTTACTGGCTACAAATTTAGTTAGGTCAGCCCTGAATGTTTAGCCACAGAAGTATGTTCTAACAATACTATAGAAATATTTAGTTGGAAGGAGATAGTTCAGGAACTATGAAATTAACTAGAGCAAAGGTCTACATGTCTAGGAATGCCAGCACAGGTAGACATGTCACCTGAAAGTCCTGTGTTTATTTGAATGGCAGGCTGCTGCTTGTGTTTTTATACCTGTTCTAAAACACCATGTTATCATAATGGCAAATAACTCATTAAAATCGTAGCACCTCGGCTATTATGTCTTGAAGCCTAGAAAATACAAAATATTTTTCATTGTGAGCTCTAAAAAACCCATAGTAGCTACGAAAACAAAACAAGCAATAATGTTCTTTTCCCCTTACTTGTCTGTCTTTTTATACTGCCCAGCACAGAGCCAGGGTTACAACAGATGCTAGTCAAGCACTCTGCACTAACTACATAGCAACCTTCCCAGCATTGTGCATTTACAAAGTTCTTGACCTGATGGGATAGCCGAGAGTATGATCTAACCATCTCTACCTGGGGTGATCAATCAACGCAGCTTTATTTTAATGTGACTACCTGCTCAGATGCTTACGTGGAGCTTTCTTACTCTTAGCAAGTGCTGTTTTTCACTGAGCAGACTGCCAAATTCCTCTGCCCTGGGAGAACTCTAATTATTATACTAAACAAACTAGTGGTGCCCAAATGTCGTGCAGATGCTGTCAAAGGAAAGTAAAATGATTCACACCTGTCCTGCCTCCATCATTTGCTAAGGTCAATTTCTTAAATAAAGTCAGGAGTGGTGTGACTGGTATTTTCTTTTACTTCAGTAAGTTGTTGCACTTATAATTTAATGTTTGATGGTGAGGGTATCTCCTGTGACTGCTGACCAAGAAAGTGTATTGTTGGGTGAAAGGATGACAGTTAGTGGTTTTAAGTGTGTGCCATTAGAGTTTAAGAGATAGCAGTTTCTGTTGTAAAATGATAAAGGTTCCATTTGTTTTCTAACACAACGTGTTGCATGTCTTTGGTTTCAGAAATACTCCTTTTTTGCCCTTTTAACTGATGTCTTAGAAATCGAAATTAAAGACAAGTTTGCCAAGAGCCGCCCCATCATCAAGCGTTTCCTGGGGAAACTGACCATTCCGGTGCAGAGGCTGCTGGAGCGTCAAGCCATCGGGTAACTGGCGCTCACTTTGGGGGACCTTGAGATTAGTTTGTGCTGAAACAGCTGATGTAGTACTTGGCAGTCCTGGGGTGTGTCTTGCTGATAAGAAGTGGAACATGTCTCTTTAGAAAATAAAAGTGCCCTTGTGATCAATAAAGTGTACTGGACCCAAAATGCCCTGTTTTTAATGATACACTTTCTTATGGTGGCAATCTCCATTCCAAGATTCACCTAGATAGCAAATCTCAAGGTGTTCAGTTTTTGGGGGGCATGTTGAAATCCTGCTATAACACCCTTTGATGAGCATCATATTGCCTTCATCTTATCTTTCTGAGTTCCATCCACAGAGCCTATCTTTATTCCTGAAACGCAGAAACAAACTTACATGGAGACTTAGTTTTAGTTTTTCAGTCCTGTAAGCTGTCTCTAAGTTGTGAGTAAAGAAATACAACACACCCTTATCCATTGTTATGCTATATGTATTTTTATGTCATAAGTATTAGTAAATTCAATACCACAAGTACTCTGGGATAGCTCAATGAGAGCATTTTGGGCGTCTTTTCTTCACAGCAGGAAAAACTTTTGAATATACAGTAGTGGTAGCAGCAAGAGTAATTAGCGTGCATGCCATCCTTGAAGTAGTAGTGAGGGTAAACCCATGGGATGCTGGGGTTACACAGTGTCAGCAGTCAGACTAGAGCATGGATTTACCCATGGGGCCTCAGCAACTCCAAGAGGTAGATAACATGATGGCAGCCATTTCAGAGTTGAGGAATCTGATGCTGGCAGGCTAGTGGTAGCCCTGAGTTTGGACTCAGTCCTTCTGCTCTAGGTCCTCTGTTCTCTGAAACATCTTGAGTGCTGGTTGTGATCATTGCCTGTGGAGAGCTGACTCGTAACCTTCACTACAGTTTTCTTGAGTTTTAGTTTCCTCATCTGAAAACAATTGTCCAGACTACACAGCCTCTCTAGCCCTTCAAGCATGAACAACTCACAGGTTCTAACGAATTCTGATCCTCTTGACTTGCAGATGTCAACCTTGTGGTTGGACAGCACACGCAAAGTAAAGGGAGAATACAGAATTCTAGAAGCATGGTCTATCTGGTAAAAGCTGAGGGATGACAGTTATTTTTAAGAAAAATAATTATAGCTTCTGGAAGATACATTTTGAGAGCTTTTGAAATTCTTGTTAGCATGTATCAACAGTGAAAGATTATGGCAAGGATCAACCTCAATAAATCTAATATCTTTCTCATTTAACTTATATTAATTATAACCATCCGATTCATGTAATGTATGTATACCGGTTTTGATTACTGACAGCAAGAAGGATCAAGTACCCAAACTGCCATGAACTCTCTAGTGTTTGAGTAAGTCTTCTAAAGAGCTGAATACCCACAGGAGCAACAGACCCAGTAATGCATTTAGTGGAAGAAAGTCCAAAATGCATTCATCAAGTATCAGACTGAGATGTTTCTCTGTGAGTGGGTTAAAAGCATTGCTGTCATACCAGATTCCGGCATATGCTAATATTTCTGACCTGATTATTGTTTTCTATCTAGTTGGTTAGTTACATATTTGGTGAACTGTGGCTATCTGAAATAGTTGAAAATGTCCAGGTTATAGGTAGATGGGACAAACCATAATCCCTAATCTATTTTTAAAGCATCTGTTTAGATGTGACTATTTTCTGGAAGACTTGTCATGGTCCCGTGTTTATCAGTTCCCCTGATCAGTAAGAAAATGCCTCAGGTATCTAGGGAATGTCTTTACTGTTCATTTTTTATGATAATAGTAATGTATAGCATATTCTTCATAATGATATCATATCACAGCAGGAACAGCTTTCGTTGGAGTAGGACTGGACAAGCCCAGGGGGACCAAGTCCCCAGACTGGCACTTGGTACAGTAGCACAGGCTTCACAGAGGATCTGAGGCATAGGGAGCTTTTCTGAGCTTTCCTATGGAGTAGATGAACTGAGGACTTTTCTCAGTTAAAATTCTTCCAAGCAAAGGTCTCATTTGACAGTTGGTTACTATGTATACACTAAGTGCCTAATAAATGTCAAGAGCTGTGTTGAGTATAAGAGATGAGACAAACAGATGGGCACAGTCCTTTCCATCAACTCTTATAAAACACTCATTCCCCCACCTTACCCATCGATTTTTGAGACGCTTCCATCATTAGCATCGTTATTTTTTGGCAGACCAAGGGAGGAGCCATCAGTCTTTAAACAAGGAAATGACGGCTTTATTAGAGGACTGAGTATCAGAAAAGATGGAAGAAAAACCAGGAAGTAGAGACAGGGCCATAGTATGTGCTGCTGGGCACGCACACAAGTGTGCAAGCACTTCTGTGTGTGCTCTCTAAATGCCTGGAACACAGGAATGCAGCGGCATGGAGCAGAAAGGGCAGCTGTGCCGTTTGTGCTGTTATAGCTGTCCTGTGGTTCCAACAGACATTCCAGAGTGATGCCTGGTTCAACTCCCAGTTCAGCAAGAGTGCCCATAGCTGCATCATATTCGGGTATCCCACAAGAAAGAATGACAGTAAAGGGGACTCCACCAAAAGCAGCTTGGAATCACAGAGACCACAATGAGTTTCTGTTATCGAGGCTGCCTGACGGGGGTTTCTACAGCAGGATAAAATATGTCTCATCCCGGATCTGTCACCCAGCAGCTTCCTAGCTATGCCTTCATGTCTTCCTCTAGAAAGCAGGGTTGATGTGTCCTACCCAGTACCCAGGGGAGTAAAGAACAGCAAATCCCTCGAGCCCTCAGTAACATGTGATTGTCACTCAGTAAAACACTCCGTCTGAGGAAACAAAACATTTGATAGCATCATTCTAGAACAAAAATCATGATATCATAAAAGGAAATGTCTAAGAACTTGAGTAGGAATTCAGGTGACCTACTAATTGGCAAACTGCGATTTTTTTTCTTTCTTTTTCTTAAGAGCGTGTTCACAAAACAAAGCTTTGTGGGTTGATACTGCAAAGCTAACCAGAGGCTCTAAACTGTAGAGTGGCGCAGATGCGTCTCTTTCCAAAATGGCCAGTAGAGGGCGGTGTGAGAGCAGAAATGGTGTGATTCCATTATCCTTTTGGTTGTTTTCTGTAATTGAAGTAAATCATTTGACTCAGAGCTGCTTGCATTTGAATCTGGGAAATAGATATGCACTTGAAATACCTGGATAATTCCATCGTTAGGAAATCTGGAAGTCTAAGACTAGCACTATGGCAGGCTCAAAAGTGAGAGTACCATTGTGGTCCCCTCTGACACCAGTCATGGGATATGTACAGTCTTCTCCTTCATTGTAGAGCATCTTGGTAGGGCCTGAGACTCAGTGGGAGGCCAGGCTCCTGCACCCCATTCCTTATTTTGCATGTGGGAAAGGTGAGGTCAGCACTCTCTCCTGCTCTCGGAGTTGGGGCTGCCGTACAGGAGCAGCCTGCTTTTATGTTCTCATATTGCTCTCTCTCTCTCTCCTTTAATGTGTCCTAGAGCAAGACTTTCTTTTGTTCCTGGGTCACTTGTGCGAATGAATAACACATCGGGTCATATTGTGATTGAACCTGTTTTCACTTAAAATTCTGAAAGTTCCAAGGGCGGTCTGTGGGACGTGGGGGTGGCCTGTGGGAAGAAGGCAAAGGCACAATCAGGATGAAGGGCCGTTTCTCCTCCTGCAGTGACCAAATGCTCAGCTACAACCTTGGCAGAAGGCTCCCAGCCGACCACGTGAGTGGCTACCTCCAGTTTAAAGTAGAAGTCACGTCTTCCGTCCATGAAGGTGAGGTCTCTGTGTAAACACATAAGCACGTGTCAGAATGGCTCAGTTGATAAGTTAGCATGTAAGCAGGATTGTTGTGCGTCCAGTGCAAACCGCAACGGCTTTCTGGTGATGGCCTGTCGGGCTGTCAAAGCACTTTGCAAAGTCGGTTTAGCAAAGACTGCTCCACGAGTTACATTTGCATTCTGAAGCTAGGCTGAAGTTTCTTGCAGGAGAGGGCGTCTACTACTCCTTACCAAACGTCATGCAAGGTACTCATGCAGCAAGGAGTAGTAGATCCTAGCAGCCAGTGATGCTGCCCGGGGCACGTGGGTGACAGAACTCAGGGAACTGGTTAGTGTCAGGACAGTTGACCTCTCTGTATTCTTCCTCCTGCTCACAAGTGTTGCTTTCCCTCTCAGATGCGTCTCCAGAAGCCGTTGGCACCATTCTCGGCGTCAACACTGTTAACGGAGATCTGGGCAGTCCTTCAGATGACGAGGACATGCCAGGAAGCCATCATGACAGCACCGTTTGTGCCAATGGGCCAGTGTCTGAGGACAGCGCTGCTGAGGGAACCCCCAAGCATTCTTTCAGGACTAGCTCTACCCTGGAGATGGACACTGAGGACTTAATCTCTACTTCCTCAAGAACCTCACCTCCCAGAGGCCGCCAGGATTCACTCAATGATTATTTAGATGCTATTGAGCACAATGGCCCCTCCAGGCCAGGGGCAGCCACCTCTTCTGAGCGGTCCATAGGAGCCTCTCCCAAACTGAGGAGTAGTTTTCCCACTGACACAAGACTCAATGCGATGCTTCACATTGACTCGGATGAAGAAGACCACGAGTTCCAGCAAGACCTAGGTTACCCATCTTCCTTGGAGGAGGAAGGAGGTTTGGTCATGTTCAGCAGGGCATCCAGGAGTGATGCCGGGAGCCTGGCATCTCAGATCAAGCCTGAGGAGGACAACCCCGTTGAGAATGAGGACGCCTCTGTTCATGAAGCTGCTTCCTCAGAAGAGAGGCCAGAGAGCCTTCCAGAGGTTGCAGATGGTTCCTTGCCCTCAAGTGCAGCCCCTGATGACAATGAAGCCAGCCTGGAGCCCCATCCCAGTGCTGACCAGGGCAGCACTGAATTGTCAGGCTCTCAAGAGGCTGATCAGCCCACGAGTGGTGCAGACACGGGAGCCTCTGACACGTCTGGAGGGAGCCGCAGAGCTGCCAGTGAGACCGAGTCTCTGGACCAGGGCTCTGAACCTTCCCAGGTGTCCTCTGAGACAGAACCTAGTGACCCGGCCAGGACAGAGAGTGTGAGTGAGGCCAGCACCAGACCTGAGGGAGAGAGTGACCTGGAAGGTGCTGACAGCTCATGCAATGACAGCGTGACCACACAGCTGTCCTCGGTGGAGACACGGTGCTCATCTCTGGAGAGTGCACGATATCCAGAAACCCCAGCCTTTTCTTCTCAAGAAGAGGAAGACGGGGCCTGTGCGGCTGAGCCCACCAGCAGCGGCCCTGCAGAGGGGTCGCAGGATTCCATCTGCACTCCCGGTTCTTTACCTGCTGTGCAGGTGCTCAGTAGGGAAGAGGAAGGGGCAGGGGCTGAGGCTGCTGCTTTGTCGGAGCCAAGGGAGCTGGGGGAGGTCTGGCAGAGGAGGGAGAGCCTGGAGGGGGCTGCTGCTACTCCTGCTGCTGCCACTGAGAGAGAGCCCCAGGACGATGGGGATGCTGGGGACACCCAAGGTGCCTGCGAAGGGGCCGCTGGCCAGGAGGAGGGCGCCACTGGAGGTAGGATATAGGAGACAGCATGGCTCTTGGTTTAAGCATAACTGCACAAAAGGAACTCTTAGGGTTTCCCTCCATGTGGATTACAGTGTAGTCTGCATGCCAATAGAGAGGTGAATCGCCCACCTGGGGCTCACCCGTTAGCAATCGGTTTAAGGAAGTGGGTAAGGAATGTGTGGAGAGCTGAAACCCTTCTTGTCTGTCAGGGTTACCAGTCCAGATCTGGAGAGGCCAGAGTGCGCGGCTAACCATTCACAGAGCTTAGAAAGAAAATGGACTTGGTTTCCAGGCACATAGAACTCAGTTCAAATTCAGTCTTTTTAAAACGGGGATCATCTATTGCTGCCACACAAGGCCTGGCAAACAGCAGTCTTCACTCTTAAGCAAGATGTGAAACCAGTCACTACCTGAATGTAATGTGTAGGGGCTTTCAGGAGTACCTCTTTCTTACAGTTCTGGAACAGATAGTGTGGGTTTTGCGTCAAAACTCTGTCCAGGAAATGTCAGCTGTGTTAAGCGATAGTTCTGATGCATGAAAGGGGAGAATGGGAAAGAGCATTGTGTAAGTGCCTGAAGTCGCAAGTTCAGATGTAAACCCTGTACTGGATCTTAGTGAATGTGGCTCCCAGAAATGATTTATTTAAAATGTTCTAGAGAGAGAGGCAGTACAAGAGAAAAGGTAGTTTAGGGACAAGGGGAGATGCATGCTGGGGACATTTCTCTTGGGTCACCGCTTCTGAGCCCCTACATCCATGTGGGAAATGAGATAAGAGGGCATAGCGAACAGCTTGGGATTCATGTTCAAGGTGTTTGTTTGCTTGCTTTTTAGGCTAGCCCAAGCTAGCCCAAAACTTTCTATCCTCCTGCCTCAATCTGCTGGGTCCTGGGATTATGTATATATGTCAGCACATCTATCCTAGATGTGTGTTTTTTTATTGTAAGTGTGTGTGTGTGTGTGTGTGTACTCAAATAAACAGTACCCGGGTAACTTGGGTAACCATTACCTTTAATCCTAGGTTCTCAAGCCAATGGGCACCAGCCATTGCGGTCGCTACCTTCAGTGCGTCAGGACGTCAGCCGGTACCAGAGGGTGGATGAGGCTCTCCCACCAAGTGAGCAGCTTTTAGCTAAGGCTTACCCTACTGGCAGTGCACAAGGGTGACAGGCAGATCCATTCCATGGGTCCTGGAGAAGAAGGTGTCTGGGAGATGACCAAGTGTCTGTCATCTGGGACTCTCTGTGTGGCCACTCCTCTCTGGTACTATTCTAAATGAAAGGGCAGCTAGGAAGAGCAGACACGGTTCTGCCCATGGAGTAAACACCATCGTTGTGGGAGTTCACCCACATATTTCAGGCATTAGTTGCATAAAAGATTTTTTTTGAATTATGCCTCACAGCAGCATGATTTTCATTCAGTGAGTAGGCAAAATGGGGGACTGTCTTAGAAGAAGCTCACTCTGTAATATTAGTACAGAATTTCCGTTCTTCCTTCAGTTTAAACTACTAAGCACAAGGGTCTTAGTTTTCACTTAAGGATATATCATCAGACATGTTATTACCTTCAGAAGTTAGCCCAGTTTTGGGGGATATAACCATTACCTGAGGGTTTAAGGGGTGTTTAGTTCTTTTACTTCATAAGACACTGAGCACTTTAATAGATGGTTGAGGACTAGGGGTGTGTGGGAAATGGTTCAAAGCCTAAGTGGCACTACCCCACTCTTAAGCAGCATGAAATATGAATTCTATTTAAAGTTCCGGAGTCCCTTACAGGAACATGTAGAGAGTAGTTCACTGTGGTGGCTGAGCACACAGCTCTGTAGATTCGGTGTTGGAGAAGCAGCTGGAGAGCTGCCCTCATGATGTGTGGTTTTCCCTGTTCTTCACCCTCTGCTCTGCTCCCCCCTCACCTGACTTTAACACGTGGGCCTTCATATACTTTAAATACGGGCTTGTGAAGAGAAGCAGTAGGCAGTTCTGATGCTGAAATACTCAATGGTGAGATCTGGAAGGAGCTGACAAGAGCCAATTGCTATTGCTGTAGTTTGTCAGTATAACTGCTTGATCCTTCTGGAATTCTGTTGTACACAGATCCCTCCCTTTTTCATACCTTTGGGCAAAGATCAAATACTACTCTTGGGGCATATTTTGGTATAATCAAAGCAAAATGGACTGGGAACGTCAGGAGAGAGTTGTGGGCGTGCTTTGTATGTGTACGTGGATCAGTCACAGAGTCTCTGGGCACTGGAAAAGGAAGCGTAGCTTCGCATGAGTGCTCTGGCAGCAAGCATCCTCCAGTCGCATGGAGTTCCTCTAGCATTTGTTGGACATAATTTTCATGTAGAACTTGCATTTTTAAAAGAGATGCTTTCTTGCTGAAATTAGGGTCCTATTCACGACATTTCAATGGCCTTGTTTAAACACTGATAAATAGAACTATGTGGATAATTGGGTTTCGGGCAAACAGTTGCCATTTTAGTTTAATAAGATGATAAACTCAAAGAACAAAAGTGATTTAGCCGTATGTCTTGTTTGGTGAGTGACTAGTGTACCAGAGCTAAATCGGAAGACCTATACCTGTTCAGTTGCTTTCAGTAGTAGTTCTGGGTGCCAGCCAGACGATATTTTAAGTCCATCAACTTCCTTCCTTCATAATGGTGTGGTGCTGGACTTCAGGAGGAGAGGGCAGGGATGCCAAACATCTGAAGATGGTAGGACGGTCTGGCACAACAAAGACCTGTCCCATCTAAACTTCTAGTATGCCTTCGGAGAGGCACGTGTCCACAAATAATTCAGCAAATGATATTTCAAGGAGAACATATGACCAGGTCTTTTCATTTCAAAAGCTCAGATCTTAAAGCATGTCTTTGTAAAAATGAGATAATGAGATATATACATGCGTTGCAGGGACAATCAGCTTGGAAGTTTGCAGACTCATCACCAGAGGCTGGGGTTTTCCTGTCTCATGACTGTTCAGCTGTGTGCTCACTCTCATAGCTCATCTTGACTGTTCCAGCTGTCTGTTCTCTCCCTGCCCTGCCTTTTTCTGCTACGTCAGGCTGTGTCCCTGACCTAAATCTGTGCCTAAACTAAGGGCCCTGGTTTGTTTTAAGACTGACAATTGTACTTTCTTTGGCTTTTTTTTTGTTGTTGTTGTTGTTTGTTTTGTTTTTTTGAGACAGGGTTTATCTGTGTAGCCCTTGCTGTTCTGGAACTCACTCTGTAGACCCAGCTGGCCTCAAACTCACAGAGATCTGCCTGCCTCTGCCTTTGAGTGCTGAGATTAAAGGCATGTGACACCACTGCCTGGCTGACAATTGCATTTAAAGAAGTACTTTTTAAAAAAAAATAATAACTCAGAACTATGCAGTGCTTTGCACCTTTCCACTGTATATGGCAATACTCTCCTTAATTTTCTGTGTTCCAATCATTTTGAAAGGTAAAGAAGCATTATCTGTAGTTTATCAAAGGAGGCATAGAAATCAGACAGGGTGTGTGGTGATATATTGTTTATGATTTAATAAAGCCACTGAAGATCAAAATGCAAAGCTAGCCACAAGCATAGAGGTCAGACAGTGGTGACACACACCTTTAATCCCAGGACTCAGAAGACAGGCAGATGGATCCTTGTTCAAGGCCACAGTGAGCTTCACAAAATTGATCCAGTCCTAAAGAGAAACAGCTCACACAAGGATGATCTGAGCACTTGGGATCCCACACCTTTAATCCCAGGACTCATGAGATGTATTTAAGACAGGAACAGGGTCTCAGAGCTGACATTCATTCTCCAGACATATTGAGGATAGGAAGACAGATCCTTCAGCCACTCTGATGAGAGACAGCAGTCTGAGGCTTAGTGAGAGCTTGTGGAGACAGGATCAGCCCCTTCCGCCTGAGGTAGAGGTGAGAGCTAATGGCGGGCTGCTTTGCTTCTCTGACCTTCAGCTTTCTACCCCAATATCTGTCTCTGGGTTTCTATTTTTCATATTACGAGGGTGATTCTTGTCCCGTGTGCATGAAGCCTGGATAAAATGAGGAACTTGTTGATGGTTCCAGGCTAGGAAAATCTGAATCAGAGCCATTCCTTCTCCTAGACCCAGCAGTCTAACCCAAGGCTAAAGAGAATCGAGGTGTGTGGACATGTGAATGCAGAGCTGACAGTTTGTCCAGAGGCACTGAGGCGGCTTTTATGGTGGCATACTGTTTATTAGGTGCCAGAAACACTTCAGGCACATTAGAAGGTTTGGGGATTTTGCTGCAACCTCATTTGTATTGTGTTTTAAGGTAAGACCTGGGGAGGTGCACTTTTCTCTTCTTGTGGGAGGGGCTTATGCAGCAGAACCCTGTCTGGGGAAGTCCCTGTCTTATGAAAGGAGTCTCAGTGGCTGTGTGAGCCACCTTTAAGTGACCCAGATAGATCTGCCCTGCCCAGCCTTTGTGTCTAGATGAGCAGCACACTTTGCTCTGCCTGTGCTTAGCTGTCCCCATTCTCACAGGACAAGCCATGGAACCAATGCACTTTGGATTTGAATGTCTCTCAAACTTGGCTCTTATTTTTATCTTGTGTTCGTATCCTACCATATGCTGAGAAAAGGTACCTCGCAACTTACACTGCTCTTCCAAGAGTTAAAAACCCAAACTGGAGCTGGGCAATGGTCACACACACCTTTAATCCCAGTACTTGTGGCAGAGGCAGACATATCTCAGAGTTTGAGGCCAGCCTGATCTACAAAGTGAGTTCCAGGACAGCCAGGGCTACACACACACACACACACACACACACACACACACACACACACACACACACACACAAAACCGTGACTTGGCAAACCAAAATACTAGTATACTATAATGAAAACCCAGTTGGGACTCACTCAGACATTATCAGCTAAGCACTGTGGCCAATCACATGGTAGTCTACACCGTAGCCTGGTAATAGTTTCGGAACACCTGTTTGAGGCTGCTCTCCTGTCCCAGAATCCAGGCACAGACTTGAACTTTGTGTTCATTGCTTGGCTGTCATTTGACCTACAAGTTGGTTCTCAAGGGCTTACTTCTGCTTTGGCCAATGAGTGTGATCTGAGGCCGTGAGGGCCTCCAATCATTGACTGTCAGATGCTCTAATAATCCCAGGAAATAAGAAAAGTCAGTCTTGGAGTGGGCATGAGAGCCTGAGCTTAAGTATATACTTAGCACCTTAAAAATGTTCTGTGTCTTGTCATGAGTGATCATTGCTTCTGGCACATGGAGGAACTCTGGTACTGAGGCCACCCGGTACATTATCAGGTTGACCCTCTTGGTCTTTTTAACATAAAGATCAAAGTGAAGAAGGGGTGACTAACATAGCCCTTTTGTGGGTTGCTCTACTTGGACACCCCTTGGGGGAGGGGGTGAGAAGATGCAGCACCAAGGACTCAGGCACTGGGAGTCAGTGAGTAGCAGAGCGTGCTGCAGGAGACTCCTTTACTCAGGAAGGTAACCTGCTTTTACACCCCCTCCCAAGGTCCCATCCCCCAGGCGCTGACTCTGCCGCATGTCCTTTTCCCATTGGTGTCTCCGGGTCAGGTGTCTCTTCTGCAGTGTCTCTGGGCATCGAGGCATGCTTGGCGGCTTGGTTGAGGGAGGAAGTACCTGCATGTGCACGCTGGCTGGCCTGGGGACCTGGGACAGGGCGACTATGTAGACTGGCTGCAGTTTCTCCTACATAGATAGCCCCTCTGAAAGATGACTTCCTTTCTCTTCAAATTGGCTCTGAGGTAACTGTGGCTTAACTCGTTGCCGCACAGGAGGCAGTGTGGAATTGATGCAGACCGCCCCCCCCCCAGTGTTGCCCTAGGAACAGAGTGTGAATGAACAGTCTGGGCAGTGGATTCTCATAGCTCCCAGTGACTGCCTCTCTGTCAGGGCGATGTTACTTACATAGTGGGTATAGACAGGCAGGATTGGAAGAACTGTGAGTCATCACTTTTTCGTGGTTTGCACTTTTGTGGTTAAAGCATCCTTCAAATCAAATACCTAAAAGCAGTCAATTACTCTGAAAACTGTAATTAATCTAAAAAATTTTAGGGACTCATTCCCTGGAGTTTAAGATTGACTTTTATGGAAAAGAGTTACATTTAATTTCAAAAGATACTTCTTAAAAATCAAAGACTACAGAAGGCCTGGTGTCAGCCACTTTTAGTCTCAACACTCAGAAGGGAGAGGCAGCCAGATCTCTGTGGGTTTAAGTTCATCCTACATAGTGAGTTCCATGCTAGCCAGGGCTACATAGTGAGACTATGTTTTAAAAACAAACAACAAAAAACCTGGAAAACAAAGAAAGTATGCAGCTACTTGAACTTTTAAAACTTTTTATTGGAATAATTGTAACACCAAAGGATATGTTCAGCCTGTAGTCTTCAGAACAGGACACACCATGCAGTCCTTACAGTAGAAAATCCCTTCATATCCTCGGCCACTGATTTCCTACTGTTGCTGCTGTCTAGACTGCCAGGTCATATGTTTGTACTTTAGACAAGTGGCACAAAAATTCTGTCTTAAAATAAAATGGTTACCCATTGAGACATAATAGCTCTATGAATGTCTTCCAGCAAGTGTGTGACAAGTTCCAGCTAGAAACCAGACCTCCAGTTTAATGTCCTACTGCCCAAAGACCACCCTAGCATGTGGTTTTTAGTCTCCTTCCACCCTGGTGGCTCACTTTATGTTATACTGTGGCCGGAGAAGGCAGGAAGGACCCAGATCCTGCCTTCTAACTCTGACTATCCCTGTTTAATTGCTTCCATCTGAAAGAAACCATGATGGTGTAAAATGAGTATTCATATGAATTCGTGTATGAAGACTAAATCAGGTTCAAGAGAAAGATGTATAAGAGAGTATACATTTCACAAGAACTGTGGTAGTGATGGTGGTAGTGATGGTAGTGACTCATCCTACAGATATTGACCACTTGGGCAGGAAGAATGCCAACAGCATTAACAGTCTTTCCAAATCCACTTGAAGTCCACAATGTGTGGATACGAAGATGTGCTATTTGGTAAGAATAGCCTGCAAAGAACATTCAATAATCTATATTTTTAGAGAGCAAATTTATGGTCTGGTTTCTTATTCTTCTAACTGTACATAAAGTCTTTAATGAATGACAAGTCTTTGTTGAAGGTAAATAAAAGTTTCATAACTTTTTATAGAATTATATCATTTAAAATTATTCTCTTATTATATGGTTTGCACAAGGCACAGTGATAACTGTATTAAGGGGATCCTTCTAATTTCTCCATTTTGCTACCCTTATAAGATCTTAAACAGGCTGCATACACATCTCATTAGGTAAATATTTAGTTATTTCCAAGGAAACAGGACCATCTCTGAAGGTTTGGGTTTTTGAAGCTTTCTTTTATCTGTGAGTAGAAAGTATGCACCAGTGCAGTTTTCTTTCTCTTTAGCTGTGGGGACTTCAGAGCCAGGTTTTAGTAACAGCCTTATCTTGGAAGCTTGGCTATATTTCTTTTTGACTCCTCTACTTAGCTTTCTCTTCTTTTTTTCAGTTTCTAACTGACCTATTCTGTATTTTTTAATTGAGAGCTATTATAAATAGTCTTGTGGAAAAATTGCTCATTGTTTTCATGTGAATTTGACACAGTGTTGATGGGTAGATTATCCCAGCTCTGACAAGATAGGAATGAGATGGGAGACATGGGCTCTTGAGATTCTGAGACAGGCAGGTCAAAGGGTGTTGGAAAATGCTTCTCAAACATGCTTATCATGTGTCCATGTGACACACAGAGCATGAGATGCGGTCTTTCAGAAATGTCCTGTTGATGAAACTGTAGCAGCGCCCAGAGTTCAGTTGTATAGACATCTTCTCTGTACCTGTCTACCTTGTTGTATAGACATCTTCTCTGTTCCTGTCCTACCTTGTTGTATAGACATCTTCTCTGTTCCTGTCCTACCTTGTTGTATAGACATCTTTTCTGTTCCTGTCCTACCTTGTTGTATAGACATCTTCTCTGTATCCATCCTACCTTGTTGTATAGACATCTCTCTATCCATCCTACCTTGTTGTATAGACATCTTCTCTGTACCCATCTACCTTGTTGTATAGACATCTTCTCTGTACCCGTCTACCTTGTTGTATAGACATCTTCTCTGTACCCGTCTACCTTGTTATATAGACATCTCTGTATCCATCCTACCTTGTTATATAGACATCTTCTCTCTATCCATCCTACCTTGGGAGTAGGTGGCATTAAGAGACTCTGGTGCTTTACCACTACTCAATTTTTCTTTCTCGTGGCAGTTGTAACGATGTACACTGGTCAGTACAAGATGCCTCTCCACCCCCAGATAAAGTGATGGCATCCACTGATAGCCTAGTGCAGGCAGAGCCTACAGCAGGCTTTGTGATCCTAAGGACTTGGTTGGGGTACTTGTTCCATTCACTTCCAGTAAGAATACCACAGGTGGTGAGTATGCCTTCCTCTTGGGCTCCTACACTAGCTCCAGGGAGTCTGCTGATAAGTTTTGTGATTGAACTTCTCAGGAGAATACTGCTTATTAATCTTTAAATTAATTTACTCAGAAATGTAAGTTTATATTTTTCCTGTATATTGTGTTTCCTGTATAAAGTCCTCCTCCCAATGGCAATAAATTCTGAAAATTTCTCTTTTGAAAAGATCAGCCTGTTCTCTGTCAGTTTAGATAAGGAAAGGTCACCTAGTCATAGGAGCAGGATGACTATAGGAGCAGGACATCTGGTTCTGAAGAGTAGACTGCTCTCCTATTTTACCCAACATGCATTTATACATTGGTTTCCAGAGACTAGCACACTTGCTGTGATACTTAATATACAAGTAAATAATCTTTTTTTAGCCTCATATTTATCTAAGTTGGAGAGAAGAAATTGCCCTTGCTCTCCAGGAGAGAACAGATTGAGATGTGTGGGTAATGGTGCTGGTTGATCACTCTCAAGTGTGTGGATGACTAGGTAGCTACTTTCCATCCAAAACCTACATTTATCACCATTGTGGATACACCTACATTTATCATTATTATGTATACACCTACATTTATCACCATTGTGTATGCATACACACATGGAAGTTTCTGCTAAGCCATGAGAGAAGGGGAAAGCCTGCAGGTGAAGAAGAAAGAAAAAGATAAAATTTGGGCAAAAAATAAACACCGATGCCATTTTTGATGTGAAACTACCAAGATATTATGATACCACTTACACGTACTCTTTAAGAGATGCTTGCACGTAAAGGGTGATGAAGGTGGGCGATGTGAGAAGATTGTTTACATTTAGAAATTCTTTAGGAGGTTTGTATCCGACATGCTGCTTGAGACTTAATAACTAGTAACAACAGTTTCCCAAGTGGACTGGGAGGAATGCTGGACTCTGCAGTGAGGTATGTGTTATTAGCCACAAATTATAGCGTGTGAGGGAGAGAAAGCTTGTGCTGAACTTAATGAACCACCTTCCTGGCCCAGCTCCTCCTCCTCACCCCTCTTGGTACCTTCCTGCTCTTTAGACTGGGAGGCGCGCATTGACAGCCACGGCAGGATCTTCTACGTGGATCATGTAAACAGAACCACGACGTGGCAGCGGCCGACAGCTCCCCCTGCCCCGCAGGTCCTGCAGAGGTCTAACTCCATACAGCAAATGGAGCAGCTGAACCGCCGGTGAGCACACACCTTCCACTGTTACTGCTCTCTTTTGTGGCTGGGCTTTTGCATGGTGCGGACTAGAAGACTTGGCTGCTCCTTTCGACTTTGATCTCCTGTCACTGAGCTGTGTGTGTCATAGGCTGCACCGGACTTCTCTTGGGGAGAAAGAAAACACAATATAAACACCCATACACACTTACATTGTTGGGAAACTACAGAGAAAATGATGTGAATAATTCCCATAATGCACTGGCTTTTAGTAAGGCAGACACGCACATTTAGGATTTGAAGCTGAACTTCTGACCTCTGGAATCTTCTCTGGCAATGCAGCTTTAGCCACCTAACATTTTCAAAGCAGTCATTCTTTGTCAAAAACTAATTGCTGTAGAACAAAAAAATCCCCTGATTTTTCCTTCATTGCAGATAGTTTTTCTTTGAGTAGGGCACACAGTTGTTTTAAGTTTGATTAATTTGTCAGGAACATGGTCTATAAACATTGGACAGTAGAGCTTCCATATGTTGTCATTTACTTAAGCAACAGATAGCTCATGGGCGGGGGGGTGGTAGCCTGGGATGCAGCAATGGAAGTCTACAGAGGCCTGGGACTTTGGGGCTGTAGGGCAGCTCCGGGCAGCTTGAAGGTAACTCCGGGTTCATGCTTTCAGGTATCAGAGCATCCGTAGAACCATGACTAATGAGAGGCCGGAGGAAAATGCCAGTGCTATCGATGGGGCAGGGGAGGAAGCTGACTTCCACCAAGCCAGTGCAGGTAAGAGCACGCCTTTGGTTGTAACCTCATAGATGTGGAAAAAGAACAAGGATTTCCAAGAAATGGGCTTTGCTTTAAGAGAACTCTTCACTTCTGCAGATCTGATAAGACAACTTAAAAAAAATGCAACAGAAGCCTTTCCTAATACTTAACCTTTTATGAGTTCTGAGAAAAGACTCACAAAACCAAATAGATTATGAATCACCATAGTCTCTGAATCTCTGTTAAAATGCAAGAGGAGTCTGGTCGTTTAAAAAAAGCTACAAATGCATTACAGCATTGATAACAACTAGAAATAATATCCAATATATTTTAGTGTCATTAAAAACAGTTTGGCTTATGCACATATTTTTTGGCAAATAAAAAATGTAGTTTTGCCAGCCATTGGTGGCGCACGCCTTTAGTCCCAGCACTCGGGAGGCAGAGGCAGGCGGATCTCTGTGAGTTGGAGGCCAGCCTGGTCTACAGAGTGAGTTCCAGGACAGTCTCCAAAACAATACAGAGAAACCCTGTCTCGAAAAACCAAAAAAAAAAAAAAAAAATGTAGTTTTAGGGAGTTGAAGTGACAGCGTGTAGGCACCATTTGCATTGTTTGGTTCTGACGGCCTTTGTGGTCTGTCTGTCTAGACTTCCGACGGGAGAACGTCCTGCCCCACTCTACCTCCAGATCCAGGATCACGCTGCTGTTACAGTCGCCCCCTGTGAAGTTCCTCATCAGCCCAGAGTTCTTCACCGTGCTGCATTCTAACCCTGTGAGTACCAAAAAAGGGAGGAGCAAGATGGAAAAAACAACATCAGGCTGAAGAACTCATTGGAGTATTTTCCTGAGCACTTGGTGTGTTCTGGACTCTGTGTTAGGTAACTCGAGTTTGAAGCCATTAAGCCCTTAGTATGTGCAACAGGCATCCAAAATCAAGCAAATGAAAGCAAAAACCTTTAGAATTAACTGTCTTATAGACAGCAAGGCTTAATTTTCCATAGTCTTGAGGGCTGTGAAGTCCAGCATCATTTTGGCTAATCTGGAGTCAGGTGGTGTCCTGCTAATATCGTTCATGGGTGGCACCTTCCTGAAAGGGTGTGGGGGCTGCCTTTGGTTCTGCTTTTAGGAGGAACTAGTTCTACTCCGGAGGATCCTCAGTACACTTCATTCATGGCTGAATAACCTCCTGATGTCATATTGGTGATTAGATTTCAGCAAATGAATCGGGCAGATGACACACAATCAGACCATACCAGGAGGGCCATTCCATTGAGTCTCTGAGGGTTGAGCGAATGGCTTTGCTGAAGATGCTAATTGGAGAAAGGTTGTTTAAATTCTAAATAGAGTGACCTAAAATAAAGGCTATGCTGTCTGTAAGTCATGACATGACCTGAGAGGAGTCTCCACTAGAGAAGGACAAGCAGCAGAGAGGAAGCAGCAGAAAGTTACCACGATTTGGTGGGTTAGAAGATTAGACACCAAAGATGGCCTGAATAGTCATGATCTAGTATTAATAACTGGTAATAAGAGGAAAGTTAGAATGGAGAGAAAATACTGAATGCAGCAAAACTTAGGAAAATCAAACTAGACCGAAGGGAAAAAGTAGACACCAGCATAGTCCCAGTACCTGAGGTATCTATGGGGCAGCTACTGTGTATTGTTTACTGGTATTCATGTGTTTCTGTCTAAGGTCATAAGTCTGTGCATCTACCTGGTTTACTCATCATTATGTCCCAGTTTACAGGTTTATCTTGGAATAAAATGTCTTGGGTGGAGGAAGAGTGTAAATAGCATGCTATTTGTCTTCACAGCTTGCACAAGGGCTCAGGCTCTTGCACATTTGCCAACTTTCTATGAATTCCTTGTTATGTATTAGGCACTAAGATAAGTACTGGGAACATATAGATGACAGTACCCATTGGACACAGGCAAAGTCAGGCTTGAAGCCGGGAAGTCAAACTTGAACCTGAACTTGTGTGTGGCATGATTCTGGGAGATGACATACTTTTCTACAAAGAGGAATGTTATGGAAAGATAACTATATACGGGTTATGGCTATTGATGGTCAATTTATTAAAGAAAATCCTCTCAAGAGAAACTGATAACCAGATTGGCGCTCCGGGAAATCCAGCCTCAGCCACACTCCAAGATCTGACCGGAACCCCCCAAAAAGGGCAAGTGCCTCTCAGCTCTTTATTCCGCATGCCTGTACGCACCTGTGGCCATGCCCAAAATGGGCATGTTCAGCGGCACAGGTGCCTAGGTCTCTCCCTACAGAGGAATAGACTAACATTTATAATTGTCACAAGACAAAAACTCTCATGCTGTAGAGAGAAGAGCTTTGCTTGGGCTTAGAATCAGGTAACAATGCTTTTATTTATTCATTCTATCTGTGTATTAAATCCCTATGATTTCCCTAGACTTGGTGGTAAACAAGACAGGCAGAGTGAGCTATAGATCACAGAATAATGGATAAAAAGACAATTTTAATGCAGTAAAACAGGGTTGGGGGCAGGGGACAACCTGAATTCTGGACAGGCATTCCAAGGGAGCCAGCCACATTCACACTGTCGCGAAAGGTCAAGGGACAGTAGTGTCTTTACTGAGCAAAGCAGTGCCTCGGGGAGAGGAGGAGTTGTCTGTGCTACACAGTTAAGTTTGGAGAGCTGCACACGGATACTGAATATAGTACTCACGTGATCTGGAAAAGAATTGAGGCTTCGCATGAGCTTTGTTCTAAGTGTATTTCTTTTGTGGGAGTGGCTTGGGTTTCTGAAAGTTCATAATGATAGTAGTCTGCAGAGAATGGGTCTCATGAGGCACAGTTGGTGTGATGGAGGCAGCTGAGAAGACCCCGTGATTACACATAGAAGCAGTTGGGCTAGTGCCTATCACACAGACTGTCTCGGGTACATTGCTACGTGCTGTGTTTTGGAGGGAAAACTCATGTCCCTGCTACTAACCGTTTGGAATACGTGAAAGACAAAGGCTTCCAGGGCTGGAGGTGTAGCTCAGTTCACTGAGTGCTTACTTAGTCTGCCCAGAGCCCTGGGTTCCAACCCAGTTGAACTCAGTGTGGTGTATGCCTGTAACCCCAGCGGGAGGTAGAGGCAAACAGAAGATCCCTAGTTCCAGGTCATCCTTGACTTCCTGTCTAGTAGAAGCCAGCCTCAGTTTCTTGAGACCCTGCGGGATGGGGGAGGGGAACATGTGTGCAATCATATGTGTGTGTCCGTGTACTTTTTAAGTAAATTTGTCAATACAGAGGGATTACAGTACATGCTTTACAAATAATAGTAAGAAGGCATTTGTTAGCCAAATAGAGGTGGTGCATGTCTTTAATCCCAGCACTCAGGAGGCAGAGGCAGTCAGATCTCTGAGAGTTCAAGGCCAACTTGGTCTACTGAGTGAGGTCCAGGACAGGCTCCAAAGCTACACAGAAAAGCCTTGTAGACCTGTGTGCCTGAACAGCTTTAATGATAAATTATTTGTCATAATCAGACTGTTGACCTGTGGTCAGGACAGGTCACAAAACAATGAATCAAGCCCCGATTTTCATTTATCATTTTCTATAGTGTGAATGCTGTCCCCCATTGAGTTCATACTACTAGTGACGTCACTAAATGGGGCTTCTGACTTCTGTCTGGCCTGGTCTTTGCTACAAACTCCTCCTCAACTCTGTGGTGCCGTTAAGCAGTTGATGAGCTGTGGTTTTTAACTTGATAGACTTTTCCAGATAAATGCAAATTGTTGATTCCTTGCAGGTTCTACTCTTACAGGGTTGCAGTGAGTCCCAGGCATCTGTGGGGCCCTTTAGGTCATTAAGTAAACATGTCTGTACTGCCTTCCTCAGAGCTGTGGACTGTAAGCGCTGGACTCTGGCTGGAGCAGCTCAGCCCAGGCTTTTTTCAATCATTTTCGTCTGTTCTATACTTGAGTGTGATTTTACAGTTCCTTTCTCTGGGTAGCCAATCTGGAGTTAAAAATATTCTTCTCTAAGGGTTTTACTTTTTTGTTTTGTTTGTTTTCTGCCCAAACTGTATTTGTTACTTGTTAAAAAGATGTTCATGTCTACAAAATTTAAATTCTGTAGGTTAGGAATTCTTATTTTCTGACTTATATTTGGCATAAATTGGAGTAGCTAGCATTTTCCTCACTAAGGTCTTGAGCTATGGATGAATAGGAATAACCACTGTGCAGAAAGACACTTTTTGTTTTCTTATTTAGAGATTAGTGGAAAATACTATAAAGTAAACTTTCTTGAATTTTTAATTTAATTTTTACTTTAGTTTTTGATTCACTTCTTTATGGCTTATAGGTGTTTCAGGAAATCCTTGTTTACGTTATTGTATCTATGCAGCACTCAAAATACATGTTGACATTTGAAGTTCTCCTTGTTCTCTTTATCAAAACAATCTGGAGGAATGAGTTCGTGTTGAAAGATAAGCATGAAAAACATACCCCATGTTGCAGCAATTGCATAATAGCATGTGCTGAGAGCAAAGGTAAACAGGCATACAGTTGCAATAAGTGAAAAAACTGGCAGATGTTTTCTTGGTAACTGCCAGGTAGATTGTACTGCCCTCTGCTGGGCATCGGATTACTTTTAAATTGTCTACAAACTAACCAGAGATTTAGTTATTAGAGCCCAGTCTTTTAGAGTTGAGATGCCTGTGTTTGTCTAACTTATGTTATACATAAGTACATTTAATTATATGTAACAGAATGATGTTTTCAACGTGCATGCTAAAAAATTACTACCCTGACTTTTAATAAGCTTTAGAAATGCATTCATTCAATTATCTAAATACCTTAGTACTTAATGAAGAAAAATATCATTTTAAAGTTTAGAAGTTACATCTTAAGCATAGCCTTAAAATCAAGAGTTACTGCTGCTGCACAGCAGACGAGCTGATGGGTATTTCTGCTAATAAATGTAAGTTTCCCTCCATATTATTCTTTAGCTAGGTGAAAACAATTTAGAATTAAATTAATTAGAAATCATATTAATGCAGACTATAGCATACAGAATTATTTCCATATACCTGCTGGCCTATTCTGGAACCAGTATTTCTTGCTTTTGTTAATAGTAATTTATGTTTTGTGAGTAATGTACAACATCACAGATATTTGCTCCTTGGACACCAGAGGCGTTTACTATTGAGTCAGAGATGTTATTTCCAAACCTAAATTCAGAATACCTGTTCTTGATGAAGAGTTTCTGAATAAAATGTATTATTCTTTAGTAGTATATTTAGTGTTATTTTTGAAATTGACAGAACTAGGTGAAATTCGAACCAGGAATCGAGGACCTTTGGCCACCACAACACTAAAGAAAAACTTCAACACCACTAAATACAGGATTAGATTGTCACTTGCAGTCGCATTGTAGCTGATTACTAAGAACTGAGTGCTTCATATTTTGCTGCCAAACAGACCAAGACATTTCCTTTAACTACTTTCAAAATTTTTCACTTGTAAAACCTCAAGACACTTAGCCAAGGAAGACACTTTTAAGCTCCAGATTTAACAAGATTCTGCTAAGGAAGCAGTTGATTCAGCCACTGAGTATTGATGTCTTATGGGAAGGTTGTTGACATGAAGCAGGGAGGCTGGGAAAAGCAGTTTGCACTACAAAAGAAATCGCCAAATGGGGTGTCCACTTCCCATCAAGGGAAACCAAAACGTTCTGTTGGCCAGAGATCATTTAAGAGTGCTTCATGTCCCATGAACGTTTGCCTGCTTATTCCACCACATTGGAATCCACAACCAGATCCCCAGTGAGCTCATCCTGTGTGGTGCCATGAGGTTGTGGCATGAAATATGCAACATTCACTCTTTTCTAGGCTGCTGTTGTTGGACAAGAAATCCAATCCATTTACCTAGCTAGAACCACTAACCCCCGTGGGGAAATGAGGAGTCCTCTTTTCTCTTAAGGTGTGGCCTTGCCGAAGTCACCCTCCACTAAGATGCACTCATCCAGGCTGAGCTCACCTGCTCAGCGTCTCTTGACTGGACTGGCTTACTCTTAGTTCTGCTAGGTCTGCCAGCTGGTTCCATCATGCCCCCTGCCCTTGTGGCCTCTGTTATTCCAATCCAGTTTTCTGTCTGTAGGTACCTCTCTTCCCACCACTCTTCCTATAATAGACCATCTTCCTGTTTTTGACTGCTTAGGTCTGTATCCTTGGGGTTTCACTCAGGCAGAACTTGGCATATAGTTAATGACAGGTTGTGAGACCCTTCAGTTAAATAGAAAGTGGGCTGCTGGGCCACGAGCTTCAAAGGCTAAAAGTAGAAAGCAGTTTTACTACTATATTTGTCTGTTCTGACAGACTGTGATAACCCCCTGATAGTCTTAATTACATATATCCTGTATTCTATAATGACCTTTAAATCTTCAAAGCGATTTTACATCCTTTATCCTCCTAATTTTGAGTCTTACTAATGAAAACAAAACAAAACAAAAAAACCAGGAGACTTATTATTGCTCTTCACAGCTGAGCAAATCGAGGCAAATGAGATTAAGAGTCTTTGTCTCTGTAGCCGTGACAATAGAATTCTATGTAAACTGTATATAAACATTCTTTTTAAACTTTATCTGTTCTATATCTCGGTATAGATATAGAACACTATGCATTGTATATGTGTACCTACACACACACATTACAGTGTGTGTGTTCTATGCTTACATATATGTTGTTCAAAAATACTTTCTTTATGAAAATGTAGCAGTCTGGAGAGGCATTTTCTTGGGCCCCTGACAGTCATGTGAATGTTTTTCAAACTTGAAAAGGCTATGATTCTAAAGGTCATTTACTGCTTACTAATGAGAAAATGATTCTTCTTACACTTAATTTACTTGGACAGATGCTTTTTCCAAGATCAGTCAAACCTGGCACAGCGTTGCATGTCTCACCAAGTGGGGAGGAGGAAGATAAAAGGATATAATTAGTTATAAGTCCTGGGTAAGATTCCCACGCTTAAGGAGCTGTCTGTCCATTCACTGGCAATTACATGAAGCCCAAGGCTGGCAAGGGTTCCTGACCCTAACTGCCATGGCCTGCTCTACTGGAGTTCTGCTGCCTCTCTTAGCAGATGGGAGGGACATGTTTGGTGCTCTAGCTTGGGAATCACTATGTCCTGTCTACTTGGCTACACCCGTTTAGAACAATGGCCAGTGCACGATCTCGTCAACACAATCATCATGAATAGTTTGTCCCCAGAGAGGCTTGTTACACAGTATGACTGGAAAGCTCTTTGTCATCACCTCACAGACGGATGCGGTCTCAGGCACTAAAGCTTGCCGTGGCTGTGTGAAAACATGAGGACTCGCAGAGCCAAAGCAGGAAGCATGTGCCTGCTGATGGTGGTGAAAACTTCAAGTCGGGCTAACCACAGGATAAACTAGTAGCTGGTCCAAGTTTCTCTCTGGCAACCTCGTTCTTATTTTGTTAGCCCCCTCTGTTTTCATGGTATCATTTTTCCCAGGCTCTCATGTTCCCCAAACCTCTGCCTGCTTTGAGTACTAAGGCTCTGGACCACACAAAGCCTCCAGCCATCAAAAACAATCATCGTTTAGACTGGCAAGCTGAAATATCTCACGGTATTTCAGACTCTGGTTTAAGGAACTAAGATCTGAGATTGGTTCGTTATGGCTGACCGCCCTCCCTTCCTTCCATCCTCCCTCTTTCTCTTCCTCCTTCCCTCCTTCCTGCCCTCCTTCTCTTCTATGTGTTTTGATAGGGAAAAATATTTGAGATGCAAAGCAAAAGCTGTCTATGACAAGGAGCTGATCAGAACACTTTTTGCCACACACCAAGCACAAGAACTATTGAATGCCAATGACTTAAGCTAACAAAGGTGTATTCTCATTCCAAGTCAGATTATTAGAATTCTCCGGATCCCAGCACACTCATAAACCAGGCTGGAGAGTTCCCACTTCCTGTGCTTGCTATGTCAAAGGGAAGGAAGCTCCATACGGCTCCACAATGAACTATAATTGTGTGAGTGGGATGTGACCATTCTGAGGGACCCTGGAGAGACTGTTGTCACACATATTCATCTTTTGTACTAATAACTACATAGTACCGACACAACACAGATGGTAAATGGTTGGTACTTTGGCACTGTTTCCGGGTACTCTGGTGTCTGTGGGAGTCGCTTTGGGGTAAGACTGAAAGAAGTAACAAAGCCCATGAAGAAATGCCCAAAGACCTCCAGTCTCAATCAGTTCTAGTACTGGGATGCTGAAAACAAGGGGACTCAGAAGCCCTTTCACTGTGTCAGTGGGGAGTACAATTCCAGGATGGGTCACTCATAGCCTAGTCAACTTCCTGGATATGAACTTCCTAGTGATTTAAGAGCATAGATCCCCGTCTGCTGTTTTGTATTAGCTCATGCATTTGTTGACTAACCAAGGTGTGGGCACTCTGTGACATAAGCAGTTTTTTGCAATCTTTGATAATGAGTTGAAACAGTAGTGTTTATGACAAGATAATCTTTTTTTTTAGTGGTAGTAGAGTGGTATTTTATTAAACTTGCATTTTAATAAATGCAGCTGTATGTGGGATAGGGGGTTAAGTTAGGGAACACCAAAACAAGACAAAACAGTGAGGTATGATCTCCAAGCTGTTCTAACTACACTCTGGTTCCCTGAGCATCTACCCCCCACCCACCTAGGAGGCTGTGAGGGTTGAGATAAGTGTCCCTGTCTGCTGTGGTCTCCAAGGACATGACAGAGCAACTCTTTGTGTGTGTGTGTGTGTGTGTGTGTGTGTGTGTGTGTGTATGTGTGTGGTGTTCAAATATATAGCAAGCATTTTCCATACAGCTTGGCCCTTAACTCTGTGCTTCTACGGTGTGTGACCCTCTGAGCCAGGGACCTGGTCAAAAGTGGGAAGAAGAACAGACTATTGGGGTTCACTGTCAGGTGGTATGTTTATTGTGTGTCTTATTAAAATCAACTCTGGAATCTAATGTCCCATGTGAAAAGAAATGCCACAACATTCTTGTTCTTTAGAAAGCAAGAAACCAGGTCAGGGGGTGGTGGTACATGCCTTTAATCCCTGCACTTGGGAGGCAGCAACAGGTGGATCTCTGAGTTCAAGTCCAGCCTGGTCTACAGAGTGAGTTCCCAGGGTTGTTACATATAAAAATCTGGTCTTGAAAATCCAAAGGGGGGGAAACAAAAAAAAAAAAACAGACAAAAAAAAAAGGAAAGCTAGAAACCATTCACAGAGAGGGTCTCACTTTTTACCCTTTCTGTGTATTCAAGTCACTTTGCTCTTTCGGCTGTTTCCATTATGTGGGTCTGGAGATATGAGAAAGCCTGTGTACATGTTTTACACACCTAAAGAAGACCTGCTATCTCCCCGTGCATGCCCTGTGTGCACAGGCAGCCTAACAATTGCTCTCTATCTTTCCTCTAGAGTGCCTACCGCATGTTTACAAACAACACGTGTTTGAAGCACATGATCACCAAAGTCCGGCGGGACACCCACCACTTCGAACGCTATCAGCATAACAGGGACCTCGTGGGATTCCTCAACATGTTTGCGAACAAACAGCTGGAACTACCGAGGGGCTGGGAGATGAAACATGATCATCAGGGCAAGGTAACCCGAGTGAGCCATCCTAGTGAGCGGCCTAGTGGCCCTGGCTGCTCTCATGGCTTCCCTCCACCTTTGCAGTGAGGGCAAACATTCCACCTCCTCTATCAGCACAAACCTGCTACAATCTCCAAATACTCCAGATCTCCAAATGTGGAAGTAGCATATGGTGCCACGGGGTGTGGGTTTGGTGGAAGCCGTGTTTCCCTGGGTAGTCCTCTGCCTGTGCTCTCTTACCATTTTCCACTGACTACAGAAAAGAATCCTGAGTGGTGTCAACTTGTCCTTCTGAGTGGTAACACTTATTCTCCTGAGTGGTGTAACTTGTGTTGCAGACAGGAGAATAAGAGGAAATGGTACTGTTTAGAGTGAGAAAACTAGGAATCACTGAGCCTTTGTGCAAGCCACTGGCCGAGTCTGAGCCTCAGTCTTAGTTCAGAGCCCTGGCCTATTTGCACCTTGAACAACTAACTCCCTAATTTATGATGAGAAGCACATAAAGACCAGAGTAATGACATCTCCAGTTCCTGTATAGATGGTGAACCAGAAAGTCCAGTTTTAATCAGGAAGTTTTACGTAAGAGGTCACAATGAGAAAGTTGGTTTTGTTAGAAGGTATTCCCCAGTGAACATTTTATTTTTATTTGACATTTTCTTGACACCCCCCTGTGAACCGTGTACTGTTTAAGGTCTTGATAGATAAATAGAGGCTTCTTACATCACAGTGAGGCACCATTGTTGGTACCACCCCTTAAAGATGAGAAATTCTGGAGGCAGAATGGCTCAGCAACCTGCCCAGCATCAAGACAAGCTATGACTGAGCTGTGCTGTGACCCAGATCATCTGTTTCCATGAACCCTACGGTTAACCGTGACAATATATTTTCTAAATTTTGCATAACCAACCCCTGCTTCTCTGTCTATATGAAGTATTTGTGTATAACACTGAAAAGGGGGATTAAATGGGATGATAATTAAAGTAGGTAACAGCATTTTTGCAAAGTCAGTCTTTATTGAGCACCTATGCAAAGCAGATTAGATACTGTAGCGGCATGTTATTCGAAGAAAAGAGACTGGCAAGAGGCAAATAAAACAACTGTGTGCCTGGAGGTGATTAATGCCATATTGTCAATTGAAGCAGAGGACAGAGTCTTCGGAAAGATAGCAATGGGTGGTGTTTTATACGGGTGGTTGGGGAAGTCGTGATAGATAGGGAAGCATGAAAGACACAAGGTGTGAGCTATACTGGGTAGAGCATTCAAGGCAAATGGAGCAAGCAAAGTATGCAATACATGATGCTTTCCCCGAAGTGACCTCTGACACCACGGGAACCTTTTCCTCTTCTCAGATTCAGCTCCCAGCAATCTTATCAGAGAGCCCCTTGCAGCCAAAGCAGTTGCTATTGAGGCATTTGTTTTATGTTAGGAAGAACACACAGACTCGTTAAACTACTCACTTGATTTCTACAGGGCTGTTTAGCAAGTCTCTCATTCCCAAACAAAAGTTTAGTTGTGACAGGGATGAATTTAGAAGAGATAAAGAGAATGGACTTGCGATTATGTCCCTGGACCACAGGTTAAGTGGCAGTGAGTCAGAATCATGACAAAGAGATTTACCAGGAGACTAGGAAGACAAAAGCAGGGACACCAGGGAGGGTGTGGCATTGCTGCACTGTCTGCTTCAACAGATTGAAAGGATGCTCAGCAACTACTTAGACTGACCAGGATCCCATAATTGGGCCAAGTATCACACCTGTAATCTCATCACTTGCTAGGCAGATCAAAATTGGCATGAGTTAGAGGCCAGCCTAGACTACATGGTGAATTCAAGACAAGCCTAGAATATATAGCAAAAACTCGGCTCAAAAACAAGATGTCACATTTAATGAGCAATATTCCTTTCCCCTCAGTCTCACTAGTGAGCAGGTGAATGACTATCTTCTTGAATTGTGCCAATAGCAAGGGCTTGCCTGGGGGAGGTCCTCATCACCTCGTGATACGTTCAATGTGTTACTTATATAGCTCTTTCCATTGGTCCCATCCCCCATCCCCCATGTCTTTATTTTATTTTATTTTATTTTATTAATGGCTATTTTGCCTGCAGTTATCTCTGTATACCATGTGCATGAAGTGGCCTTAGAGGCCAGAAGAGGGTCTCAGGTCTCTTGAGATTGGAGATGCAGAGGGTGGGTGCCAGGATTTGAACCTGGGTCCTCTGGAAGAGCAGCCATTGCTCTTCCACACTGAGCTGTCTTTCAAGCCTTTCATCTAAGCTCTTTTAATTAGTTCATAGTTTGTCTTAGATTGCTTACACTACATGTTTGTGATGTGTACTTTAGGTGTCTTTAATTTTGGAAGAGATTTTCTTTTTTGTGTGGATAATTTTTAATCAGGTGACTGTGAGATTTCACAGGAATATAGATCCAGTTTGCTTTAGGAGTAATTTTTAAGTCACACAGATGAAGGGAATGGCATAGAACATTAATTTAAGATTGACAGTACTGGAGAGATGCCTCAGTGATTAAGAGTACTTGTTGCTCCTGCAGTGGGCCTGGGTTTGAATCCTAGCACACACAGAGAAGTTTACAACACCCATAACCCCTGTTCCAGGGGAATCCAACACTCTCTTCTTACTTCCTCAGGCATCAGACTAGTGCATGGTACACATATATACTTGCAGGCAAAACACTCATATATGTAAAATAAAATAAACATGTCAATAAATAAGTTTAAGGGTTAATAATCAAAGAGTAAGAATATCACATTAAATTCTGGGAGGGGGAGAATGTAGAGGATTTGGAGCTCTCAAATACTACTGGTAGAAACATCAACTTGGGAAATAGTTTGGGAGTTTCTGAAAAAGCAAGTAGCTGTCATGTAATCTGACAATTTTATATATGCGCTCAAGAGAAAGCTAGACCCAACATAAAAGCATGCATTTGAATGTTCATAGCTATGTTACTTACACAGCAGAAGTTGGAAATAAGTCAAATGTGTATCGATGAATAAATAAAATACAGTAGATTGATAAAATGGAACATTGCCTGATACTACAAAGGAATGAAATAGTATGCCACAACACATATAAACTTTGAAAATGCTTTCTAAGGAAAAGAAACTACTCAACAGATTACATATTGTGACATGGCCAGAATAGGCAAAGAGACAGAAAGTAGACTATTGACTTCCTAATGCTAATGAGTATAGGATTTTATTTGGGGTGGAAATTATGCTAAATTAGATAGTGGTCATGCTTACACATCCCTTTGTCTACAATAAAAGAGTAAAACAGATACATTAAATGAATGAATTGTGTGGTATCTGAATTCATTGTCAGGAAAACTAGTTTTAAAATGAATAGACTCAGTTAAAGGGTGGAAATTCCCATTTTAAAGCTCTTAGATTGTGTAGGTTTCTGCTTCCTTGACCTCTGAGGTTAGGTCATGTAGTTCTAAACTGTGATTTAATATAAATTATGTGATGATCTTGGGGTTTTTTAAAGTACTTTAGTAAAATATAAAGTGTATGGTTTACGCACAACAGAAATTTACTCCTCACAATTCTGGAGGCTGAGATGTTCAGGATCAAGGTTCTGGCAGGTCTTGCGTGTCTGGGGAGGGCCTACATCTTGTAAGTGACAAAAGTCATAAGGTAGTTCTCTGAGGGCTTCTTTGAACAAGTACTGATCCCATTCGTGAGGGTCCCACACTCATTCTAATCCCATTCGTGAGGGTCCCACGCTCATTACCCAACCACCTCCCATGGATGCTATTTCTTGTGCCAGCACTTCCTGGAAGTTCAGGTGGGGTGTGGGAGCGCACAACCAAACTATAATGCTAATGCTTTTCTTCCTGATCTTGTTCAAAGTTCCATTACAGTATTTGTTTTAGTTGTACTTTATTTTGTTGTTTCCTTAATTATCTTAATTCCATAACCTTGAAGCTGGAGTTAATCCAGGTTTAGTTTTATACACAACTGGCCTTTCAAGACTGTGTGATCAACTTCTGCATACATCTGTTGAATTTAGGACCCAGAATTTCCCTCTAGGACAAACGTACATATGTTCTCCCCCCCCCGCCACACACTCTGGGCATTAAACCCAGGGCCTTGTATGTGCTGGGCAGACACTCTGTGGCTGCATCTTCCTGTCTCTACTTTTAGTCCTTTTTCTGATTTTGAGACAAGGTCTCAAAAGACTGATCAAGCTGACTTTGAACTCACCCTTAGTCCAGTTAGGTCTTGACTTTGGCATCCTCCTACTTTAGCCTCCCTAGTACTGGGTCTCCAAGAGTGTGCACATTTCCCAGTGCAAAGATCTCAATTAAAGCATTTTTCTTGCTTCTTATAATAGTAGTTTTTAAACTTTGGCACACTCAGAAATATTAAAGCCAAGTATAATTTGAAATCTGAGTGGCAGTGCTGATAAAATTTTATTATTTATGTTAGAAATAGTCATCAAATGCTATTAAAATGTGACTTATTTAAAACATCTCTGGTTTGTGGCTGAGTTTAATAATTAGTGAGGGCTCATGGCAATAACAGCTAGAAAACAAAAATGTACCCGCATAGGGAAAACACTGATTTTCAAATACCTTAGCTTTTCCTCAGTGTGTTTTATTTTGCTTTGTTTTGGGTGTGCAATTGCTAATTTGATTGATTTGAAAAACTTATGTTGAAGTGGGAAGATTCTTGGATCTGTAGCTTCTTGGCATGACCTCTGTAAGCCTCAGTTTTCTTTAACGTGAGCCATTGTACCCGTGCCATCCTGCTCTGAGAGCTGTGGTTAGCACCAAATCTTGCTAAAGGTTAGATGATAAGGTTCACGTCTCCTTCAGCGTCTGAATTATGGGTTAAGTTTCACAGTATAAAATTATGTCTGTATGTTCATACACCTTTAGAAGTTCTTTCATTTGGGGCAGCTGTGATGGGAAACACAAACATCTGCAAAATGAACCAGTGGCTAAGCCCATAGCAGGATAAGTTCTCTGGCCAATTCCTGCTCCCCACCA